CTTGGTAATTTAGCTTTGGAGCTGACAAAAGGATACTCTAAAATCCTGTTACTAGGTGGGTACATGCCTACGGAAGGAAGCGCGACGGGTAGCCCAGGGGGTTTCCAGCGTCCCGCTCTTGCTAGCTCACCATAACCCACTAGCTCTTCATTCTTCTTAATCGCACACTGCACCCATCACTATTTGGTGTGACCTTTAACTATTAATGAGGGTACTGAACAAGGTTAACTTGTTTCCTTAAATACCTTTGCCTCTTTTCCCATCCCAGCTTTTAACTGAGATGGAGGGGTCCTTCCAGTTCTATTACTGGAGTCAATGAAAATCAATTGCCTTTCTCTCAGTTGGCTCTCAGTCTCTTTCCTCACATCCCTCTTGACTCCAGTCCCCCAGTAGCATCTGCTACTCCTGTGCTTGCTCGCCCAGGCTTGTTCTTGTCCACAGTTTGCTGGGAATGAAGCAATTATGTAGTAGGAATGCGATAGGGTTGTGTTTCTAAGATTTCAGCGCCAGCACAAGCCATCTCTTTTTTTTCATCCTGATATTCTGAATCGAACAGGTCACATTTGATTGCAGTGCCCTGAGTCATCTGCTAGATCAGACCATGACACAGTCTCTGTAATTAGAAGGGCAAGTGGAATTTTGTAGAAGTGGAGGGTAGATGCTGCTCTGAGGACACAGTCTCAGGGTACAGAAAATTGAAATACTATTTTATGGTTCCAAAGTGATTCTTACAAATTTATATGCTTGTACATTTGCTTTGTGAGTATGGAAAGTCTTTCTCCTCTTAGCAGTGAAATAAAGCATAGTTTAGCTTTATTCCCTTTTAAGGTAACTTGTCCTTCATTAATCTGACCTCTGTGGCAAGACTGTGTTCATGTGTGAGACACCTTTCCTTTCTGAATACCTTGTGTTGTGTTGTGTTGTTACTGTGATGATAGTGAGGTTGTCATTGTAAAATCAGTAATTCATTCACAAGGGCTCAAAACACATGAAAGTATCTGGTCAGATTCACTCTCCCACTCCTGTCCCCCCAACCTACACCCACTCAGTTCTTTTCCCAGCAGACACCCACTGTATTAGTATTTTTCTTTTCCTTTTATATTTATTTCATGCACATATAAATATATGTTACTTCCCCCTTTTTAAGCAGATGGTAGCACACTATATATACAGAGTGTTCTGTACCCTGTTGAACACTGTGTATTCAACTATTCATACTCTTTTTACATATAAGTATATAAAGAGGTTTCTTATACTTTTTATAGTGGCAGAATATTCCATCTTGTGGATGTGTGTTTATTTAAGTTCTTCCTCATAGATGGAGATTTAGGCTTCCTGATGGTTTTTGAGATGAAGGGTCTGGATAAGAATGAATAAGTAAAATCCATATTGACTTGATGCAGCAGAATTGAAGTCAGAGATTGAGCATGGTCTTGTGTCATTTATAAGAGATTTTTCTATGAAATGATTAAAACATCACAGTGGTCCTTAGTGGAACATCTAGATTTGCACAGGTGGTTTTGGCAGTCCCAGAATAACCAAGAAAAGAGCATTGTTTACCTTTTTAATGAATCATTTTGTAGGCTACTGGGTCTCTAATCCTGGAAAATAAGGGGTTATGTTCTAAAAGACTATTCTGAATCCAGCCAGATGTATCATACAATTGATAAAGGGAAATAAAGAATTGGTACCCATTATTCAGAACAGGATTGGGAAAGTTTCAGGCTCAGGAAGACTTTNATATTCATACAATTGATAAAGGGAAATAAAGAATTGGTACCCATTATTCAGAACAGGATTGGGAAAGTTTCAGGCTCAGGAAGACTTTCTTGGGGGATAAAGAACCCACTTTTCCATTAGTTCTTGTTTAATACATGCCTTAATGGACTAGATTTGGGGGATGGAAGAAAGGCAGGATTATAACTTTCTTGAGGATGTGGTAGCTGACACAGTGTGGCTCATAAATATTTGCGTAATTGAATGGAAAGCATGATCAAAGAATTTTAAAGTACTGTAAAGACAGACTTAGAAATGCTTTAATGTATACATTCTTAAAGGGTGTATATATTAAAACATTAGTATGATGTGATGTTTGAACTAGCAGAACATTGGGAGGCAAAAGTCATAGTTCAGGAAGGAATAAGCTATGAAGTTCAGTTTATGCTGCTTTTTGAAGTACTCCTTTGACTTTGAAAATCTTATTTGTACCTAAACATCAGTCTGGAAATAGAAATATATCTTTTAGATGAATTCAGCCTGTTAGCAAACTTGTTACATCGCTAAGAAACACAAGCTATTTTTGTGAGTCTGAAAATGAGAGCATCTTCATCCCGTGTAATGGGGAAACAGCCCAAAGACCCTCTTCATTGCACCCTTCGGAGAATTGTGTGCCCTTGGGGACAAGAAAAATCACTTCCTTTTGAAGCTACTTGGAGGGTTTTTTTTAACCTCTTGTTTGTGCTGGGTTTCTTCTTATTTACTTGATGATTTCTTCCACAAATAGGTTAAATATTGACCTTAAATAAATAGAGGACCAGATATTTCTCCATCAAAATGGGTTTATTCAGGAACAACAGTGAACTGCAGTTTGGGATATATGATCGCGGAAGTTCAGAAACAAAGGAGAGTGACAGTGTTTTATGGAGTTGGGAGGGGCTGTTGCCACGGAAGAGTCCACTGGAGGCTACTGAGAGTCCAGCTATAGAGGCTTCTCATTGGCTGAGCTATTCAGTCTCTCATTGGCTGAGCTGTTACTGGGCAAGGAAGAGCCTTCCTCCTGCGGAGGTAGTGAAGTAGTACCACTTGCTGTCAGGGATGCAGGTGCCCCGCTTCTTGTTGGGGGCCATAGTGAGTGCAGGCTGAGCGACACTTGTGTGAGAGTTTTCTATTCTAACCCCCATTTTATTTTATTATTTTACTTTTTATTTTTATCGTTTTATTTTATTTATATTTTATTTTATATATATTTTTATTTATGTTTTCATTTTATTATTTTATTATTTTTTGGCTTTTAAACAACAGAAATTTATTTCTCACAGTTCTGGAAGGTGGGGTCTAAGCTCAGGGTGCCAGCGTGGAATGGCTCTGGTGAAGGCCCTCTTCCGGAACTCTGACTACCGCTGCTCCTTGGGTCCTCACATGGCTGAAGGGCCAGGAGAGCTCTGTGGGTCTCTCTTCTAAGGCCACTAATCCCCTCATGAGGACTCCATCCTCATGACCTAATCACCCCCACCGGCTCCACCTCCTAGTACTATTACCTTGCAATTAGGCTTTTTTAAACCTCCGTTTTAAATGAGGTACCTGTTAGCCCTGACTGGGTAGCTAAGTTGTTTAGAGTGTTGTCCCGATACCCTTAAGGTTGAGGGTTCGACCCCAGTCAGGGCACACACAAGAATCAACCAATGAATATATAAATAAGTGGAACAATAAATCGATGTTTCTCTCTCTCTCTCTACCCCACCTCAAATCAATTAAAAAAATTTAAATGAGGTTTCTGTTTATTTTCACAGTTGAGTCGTATGAGAAACGATTTCTATTCATTCAACCGTGTTGAAAAGTAATCCCTGTAAACACGCTTGCATTTATTTAGCTTATATATATTTTAAATTATGGAACAATTAAGCAAAGAGTAAGTTAAGATTTATAATCACAATAATTGCTTTCTTTGAAGTGACTGATGGCGATGATCATATGTGTGTTTAAGAACCTGCACTCAGTACTCTCTTCAGCAGCACATATACCTGAATCTGCAGTCAGGTGTTCAGGGTACTTTATATGCACCGATATCTTGGTTTAACACTAAATTGGGAACCCACATTTATCAAATAACATACTCTGTTTTCACAATATCTGCTTTAGGATGACAGTTAAGGGGTTGGGAGCCAAGGGGTTGGGAGCCAAGGTAATGTCGCTAACATCCAAATTAAAACGGTTAGGACCATTTTGTGTTTGCTGGTATTTAGCTATATGAAGTTACGTTTTTGAGGCGATACAGTTAAAAATTCATCTGGTGTCGCGTGACAGCCTGGATGTGTGAGGGGCTCTCCTGTGTCATTTTCATCTTGGTTCTCAGTATAGAAACCAAAGCAAAGCAAGATTAAGCAGCCAGAGCCCATTGTTCACTCTCTATTAATAGAGCCCTCTCTTTTGATTCTTGGTTCAAGACTATCTTCTCTCAAAGTGTTTTTTTTTTTAAGGACTATTGATTTGGAGTAGGAGTTTCTTCTTTTCATTAGCTTTCTGGGTTCCAATTTTATTCTCTCAGTAGCTAGAACTTCTTGAAATTGTAGCTAATAACTATATCCAGATCTCGCCCTTTCAGAGTCTCAGCTGTGATGCTGATGTATCGCAGGATATTGTTTATGATTATGAAACAGGAGGTAGGCAGACCCACACTAAAAAGACAGTGCTACCTAAGTGATTTTTGTGTGACATGGCAAAGCCTACAGGCCACAAACTGAGCTCAAAATAAGTAACTCGAACTTACACGGGAACACATTCCCTAGAGAAATTGTGTCGATTGTGTTCACTGCTCGTAACTGGTGTTATAGAGTCTGACTAGTTCTTTTTAACAGTCTTGTTTAACTTTCATTAATTAAAGGTTGACCTTTGCTTGATGTTGGGTGAAGAATAAACATGGTGGCTTAAATGCGTACCCTGTGGCCTCTACCCCAAGCTCAGCCACATTTATTTAATTTCAAAGCTATTCTTGGAAAGGAAAGACTTGTTCCCTTTTCTAGCTTTTCTGGCCCTGAGGCCACTTGTTTCTAGGTTATTTCCTCCTCCCATTTTCAGTGGGATGTATCTCTTTTCCAAACCCCCACTCTTTTTGAACCCCTTGTACTCTTTGCTGTTTTATATTTCAGACATTTGTATCTGTCCTAAGACTATTGTTGGTTTTGTGATTAATATCCAGGAGAATGTTTTTCTCAGTCTCAGGGAAGCTGAGTATCCTCAGTATCTTTTTCAGTAAAACCTGTTTTTTTTACTTTTCAATGCAGGTCTGCAGACTCCTGCTCCAGAGTTTATTGTTGACGTTGAATCCATGGACATCTTCCCAGTGGGCTGGTGTGAAGCGAATTCTTACCCTTTGACTACACCACACAAAACAGTCTGTAAGTATCACCTCGTTTGGAGCCCAGATGGATAAGCTCTGGGTTTGGGTGAATAAATAGGTGGTTCTGTAAAGATAGGATAGCCAAGTTGTTAAAATAGAAAAGATTTTCCACAAAGCACAGAATTTTTTCAAAATCTCATTTATCCTTTAAGTGTCAGCGTGAGATACACATTTCAAGGCTGACAAACTAAGTCACAGTGATGGGACAATTGAAGGTCACAGAGAGGCAAAAAAAAAAAATATCTGGAATAGTCACTCTGTTTTTTATACAATTTATTATTTTGATTAAAAAATTAAACTAAGTACTATATTTTTGTATTATCATATCTGAGAAAGGACTACTTTTTCTCATGAGGTTTACCCCCAAAATCTCATAATTGGTCCCAATAATTTACTGACATAGATTTAAATACTTAACTACTCTTAGCATTAACTAACTGGTGAGATTTCAACTGTACTTTGAAAAGAGCATTATATCACATCCTTCTGATCCCAGAAATACCAACTTATATGCTTTTTTTTGGTTTTTTGTTTGTTTTTTTATTTCAGAGAGAGGAAAGAGAGAGAAGAACATCAGTGATGAGAAAGCATTATTGATCCGATGCCTCCTACAGGCCCCCTACTGGGAATGGAGCCTGAAACCTGGGCATGTGCCCTGATTGGTTCATGGGTGACGATCACCCACTGAGCCACACCGACTGGGCAGAAATACCAACTAAAACAGTATTAGTGGGGGGAAAAACAGTATTAGTGGTTAAGCAATTCAGCAACACACACACTAAATATATACAACGGTGTGTTTTAACATACATTTTATAAGCATTATCTTGAAAAGGTATCATTTAAAACTCTTCAAACTTAATAAGTCTTGGCATTATTCAACCATAGGTGTATCAAAAATACTATTTCAAAGTATAGGTCCTTAAAGACAAAGGGTTTTGCCCGGCCGGGCATGGCTCAGTGGTTGAGTGTCGACCTAGGATCCAGGCAATCGGGGTTCGATTCCCGATCAGGGCACATGCCCGGGTTGTGGGCTCAATCCCCAGTTGGGGGCGTGCAGGAGGCAGCCGATCAATGACTCTCTCATCATTGATGTTTCTATCTCTCTCTCCTTCTCCTTTCCTCTCTCTGAAATCATAAAGATATATTTAAAGAATAAAAAAGATAAAAGGTTTTAATTTTTTGTGAAATAGATTATATTTCTCATATTTTTGATATTACATGCTAGCTTTACTTTCTAGCAGTATACTAGAATGTACACTATATGTATAATACATGTATTATGTGGATCACTTATGTAGAATCTCAGAACAATGCTATAGAGAAAGTTCCATCTCACAGTTGACCTTTCATTTCCTGATGTCAGCTGATTTTGAAGGGAACCTAGAGTCCTCCTATTCGATATTCATCAAGAGTAGGGTGGGACAGTGTGTGAAATAAAGAAGATAGTTGCTATTTTGGACACAGTGGATGTTAAGGGATTCTTCTCCCCCATATACCATACTGCTCCGTGAGTCTGATCCAATGAGAGTAATATCTTCCCCTCACTTAAAAATATTTCTAAAAATGCCCTGGCTAGTGTGGGCTCAGTTGGTTGGAGCATTGTCTTGTACACCAAAAGGTGGCAGGTTCTATTCTCCGTCAGGCACGTACCCAGGTTTCGGATTCAATCCCTGGTCAGGGCGCCTTTGGGGGACAATGTCTCTCTCTCTCTCTCTCTCTCTCTCAAATCAATAAAAACATACCTTCGGGTGAGGAATAAAAATGTTTCTAAAATTTTGAACTCAGGATAATTATTTCAATCTCAAGGCATTCGTTTTTATTTTTCCCTCTAAATCTGAACCCACCAAACTTGACAGCTTTAGAAGTTTTGTTGGGATTGATTTTTGCTTATGTTGGAATATTTAGGAATATCTGTGCCAAAATTAATAGATCCCAGAAGCTCTGGTCTGTCTTTGTTAAGGTGGTTTAATCAATTATAAATATGAAATGGAAATGTTCTTTTCCAAAAAATTATTATTGACTGGTTTATGTTACTACTTGACAGACACATTTGGTAAGTACCAATCCTTCTTTCAATAATAAAATGTTTTAGTTTAAAACATGCCTGTAATCCTAATTTGGGAGTAGCGGTATGGTAACATTGTTTGACTTATCACACTTTCTTTGGGGAAAAATGTCATCCGGATAATCGTGCTTGCAACAATTTATCTTACCAGGTGTGTTCATGTGAGGTATGATATGTGTGCCGTTTTCCTTTCTTATTAAATCACATTTTAAAACGAAGTAGACAGTGTGTAGTGATAAGATTAAATGTACTAAATTCTATTTAGACCTCATTTCTGATAAGTCAAAGTCTATTTTATGCTAGAAGAAATTAAGATAAAATTGTGGCATGAATGAAATAACTTGCAGTATTTAAATTGTTACTTTAAAACTGACAGTTTTACACTAAGCCATTTTTAAAAAATGCTTTTGCCCGAGTAGCTAACTGAACTGATTTTTCTTTTTGCCTGTTTTATAGCACAAAAGAAGAGAAAGATTGCAGTTGTGCAACCAGAAAAACAGTAAGATTTTCCTTTCTCTTCCTTTCCTTTTTTGTTGCTGTTTAGTTTTCAAAAACTAAGTGAAAAACTAGGGAGTGTCTTTATAAAGAATGGGAAGCGTGGCTGTTGTTATTGGAGTTAGTTCGCACTTAGCACAGGAGTACAGATAACAATAAAATATATCTACTGTGATTTATTTTGCACCTATTGTGTGCTGGGCACAGCGCATGCTTCTAAAGGAACTTCTCCAGATTGTGACTTCCCACTTTGATTCCACTTCAGTATACCTGAAGGACACCCCAGTCGCGCACATTACTAGCAGTGGCTCTCTGGGACAGTGGTTCTTAATGCCCGAGGGGCCACGCAGCCCTACCCAGCATGTTCCCCATCACTAGTCACAGGCAAGCCTGGTGGGAGAGACTCCAGGCTGCTGCCCAGCTTGGCTACCTCCCAGCTGGGTGACCTTTTCAAGTTGCTTTAGTTTTTTTTCATCTCAGTATCTTCATTTGTAAAATACCTATTTCTTGGGGGTTTTAGGATGGTTAAATTAGATTCCGTGTGTGAAATTTGTAGGCCCTGCATTGTTGAATAAATATCGATTATCTCCCATTTTAAGTGTAATTTTATGAGGAAAGAGGGTGTTTGGGCAGCGTGTGTAGATGCCAGCAGTATGTTTTTGGAAACTTGTAACTGCGGGTAACATTTCATATATTGGAAAATATCTAAAATATACTAAAATACATATCCCTTGCCAAGCCTTTCTATTTTCCTAATATACTGGTGGAAATGAAATTGAAAACAGCATTTTTCATGTACCCAAGTTTAAATTGAAATAAAATGAAATTGAATAATAACTACATTGTTATTGGACAAATACCCATTTGTGGGTATTTCTTGAGCATTCATTTCCAAACAGTGTATTAGGCTAATAATCTGACTTCAGTTTTATCTGGATAACATTGAAATAGAGAATAAATAATAAAGTAATAATTTCATTGTTGAATCCAAATTTGAATTCCTAACTCCTAAATTTGCAGTCCGTGGATCCCTGGATTTCACCCTTTCTTTATACCAGTCCCCTAGACCGCTTGTCAAACACAGACAACTTGGCTCCCATCTCGTCTCCAAAATTTCTGACTTAGCCTGTGTAACAAGTTCCCAAGTAGCACTGATCTGCCAATTTGGGCACCCCCACTTTGAGAACCAATGCCATAGATGACCCAACCAACTAATATCTCTCATATTGGTTTACTTTGACTTTATGTAGCTTTTCAAGTGTGGTTTTTACCCAGCCAACTTGGATTCCCCTGTAAAACCCATTCTACTTTTCCCCCCTAAGGCTACATATCTTTGTATTTATTCAGCAACTTTTTATTGATCTATAATGTAGACTTTTGTCCTAGAATAAGCCTCATCAGTGGGTAGGTTTTCTTTGAAGATCTTGTTTTCAGTGTGGCTATGACACACACAAGCACAATCACTCAAAATCAAAGGTCTGTAGAAAGTGGTTTTCAATTAGACATTAGAGAGAAATCTGACTTTAATTAAAGTCAATGTCAGTTGATGTTTCTTCATGTCTAAGATATAATTAAGGACATTATTATAATTCTATAACATGAGACCAGCCCAGGAGTGACCTAGAAGAACCTCATTGATCAGCGATGACCCCTCGAGGGTCAGATGTCTTAGGGTTATTACAAGAATTTGAGAACAACCTGTCTAAATGATCTTTTTATGTCTTCTTGCTGATGTTGCTGCTAGATGCACACATCTTATCTTACTAGGCAGCTTAGATTTTTGTAATAGTCATTTTACATTATAAAAAACTTTGGAATGTAATGGTTTCTTCTACAGTGTGTGACCCATAAGAGTTATTTTCTTTATCAACAGATTGACATCCACAGTGCCTGTTGAGAAAATACCTCATGACCTTTGTTTATTCCCTCACCTAGAAACCACAGGTAAGTGAGCCCATTTAGGGCTTTCTGTCACTTCCCATTTTTTCATTGTGAGTGGAAACATGTACGTATTTTTAGGTCAATATGTGAATATCTCAGCTTTGAGCTTTTTCTCTTTTACTCTGTTGCTACTTATTAACAGATACCTACTCTTATAAAAAAAGGCTTTTCTAAGCTAAATCCTTTGTGCTTCTTTTTTTCTGCTTCTTGGTCATTAGCTCTAGACAGTTCTCTTGGTCTGCAGGGAGAGGGCCCATGTGCTAATTAGAAATTATGAGCCCAGTTAAGTTTGTGTATCATGGAAAATCATGTGGAAAAAGGAGTGGAAAGTAATCACTATTAGGCATTCCTTTTTGATATTTTATGCCAGTCCCACTTGAATTTTTATAGTAGTGGTTAATACAGAAGTCTCCGTGGGCTTTTAAATTGTTTCTTAAAGCCCTCTGTGAATAATACATATTTTTTAATGTATAAAGTCCTGCATCTTACAGTAATCTTTGAAAACGCAAGTGTGAATTACCCTTTGACCACAAATCTGATTATAGACTTGTTCATACATTAAGTAATATATTTTGATTAAGAATTCTATTTGCTACTCAAAGTGAAACCTGCTCTGAATTCTAGGATTAAAACCTATATGCTGTGGAAAAATCCTATTAGTTGAAGTTATCTTTGTCTTCAGAAAGCAGTTTTATGAGTAGACTTACTAAAATTGTTTTTCCCTAAACGTGTGGGCAGAGTAATCCTACCAAAAAATTTCCATGTAAATGCAATTGTGGACTTAATTTTTTTGCCTGTTGTATATACAATTTAAACTTCAAAATGGTTTTGAAAGAACCGTGTCTGCAACTCTTTCAGAGTCTGTAATTGTTTCACTCCCTCTTCTTACTGTTGGTTTTTAGTTGAAATTCCATGAGAACAAAACTTTCTGGACTGCTAAATTACCATCTTAATTACAACAGCTTTTATACAGAAATACCACTGTGAGTGTAGCTTAGCTTGGGGCAAGGTGAGAGAGCCTTAGTCTCTTAGCTGAAAGTGAAGCCTCTTTCTGTGTTTCTAGGCACCGAGAAGCTTTAGGATAATATTTTATCATTTAGTCAGTCTACTTTTTTCCCATGGCAGCTGGAGATACAGCTAGACCAACAAGGCTCCTGGTTTACTTTCTAAGTTGAAAGAATAATAACAGAAATGCAAATTTGAGCCCCTGTAAGGAGCTTTTCAAGGCCATCAGGTTCGCAAACCGAAGAAGGCCTGTAGTCCCTCGTGTTGGCCTGGGTGTGGGAGACCAGGAGCTCTTACACAGTGCTTGTTCGAGTGTCATGTGGGTTAGTCATTGAGAGAACAGCTCGGCCATGTCTAGTAAAACTAAAGCTACTCAGACCCCATGGCCACGCAACTCTACTCCTTGTTACATACTTGGGAGACTCTGGTCCTTAAGCAGAAGTCGATTTTTACAGTTGAATTCATTAAAACACTGCTGATAACATTGGGAAAGGGGAAGCAACTTGATGTCCATCAATAAGAGAATGAAAACTCAACTGTAATATATTCCAACAATGGAATAATAACCAGAACTGAAAATGAAAAAATGATTCCAGGTAACCGCTAACCAACGTGGGTGGGTCTCAGAAACTTCATGTTGCACCAATAGAATGTTGCCGAAAACCTTTTATGAAATATTCTAAAAATATATATTGCTTGTTGTTACATACATACATGTATATGTGTGTGCTAGAACTTACAGACGCGTGGGAACGATAAATACCAGCGCAGGTCAGCGGGTACCTCTGGGAGGGGTTTCTGGGGTAGGACACACAGGAGAACTTAGCTGTGCAACCTGATTTTTTTTTTTCCTTAAGCCTCACCCCGATCCCTTAGTTATGATTGTCTTAGTTTTTGCATGTTTTGTGTGTCTTGAATACTGCATAATAAACAGAAGATTTCTTTTATATGGTAGAAAGATCATCAGAATTTCTAAGGTAGTACTGTGTCTGTGAAACGTTCTAATGTTAAGACACAGCGCGCCTCTGGGTAGTTTTGCCAACCGAATGGACTGAGCAAGCTTTTGTTGGTTTCTCAAGCGTCCGCTGTGCTGCTCTCCACACAGGCACTGTCAACGGGAAGTATTGCTGTCCGCAGCTCTTCATCAATCACAGGTGTTTCTCGGGCCCGTACCTCAACAAGGGGAGGATCGCAGAGCTGCCTCAGTCGGTGGGGCCGGGCAAATGCGTGCTGGTTCTTAAAGAGGTAAAGTGCTTTCGCAGTCCCATGTGGCTTATTTCCACAGGTGTTTAAGGTTTAGGGCCATTTCTGAAGGAGATAGTAGAAATGCGAATCAATTCAGGGGACGTTTACCAAGCCCCTCCTTTCTCAGTACTGTGGCCTGGAAGCTGGTCGTATGAAGATGGAAAATGGTGTTTCTGCCCATGAAAGACCCACAGTCTAGTGGGAGGGATGCACATACATGTACATACCATCCTCCGAGTCAGGGGAAACATTATGCTAGGTTTGAATAGAGCTTCGGGAAGGCAGAGGAGGGGTTAGTTGTGCCTGGAGTGAGGGCTCAGAGCTGGAGGGAAACCGTTTCCCCGAAGAGGTAAGTAGCCTGGAAGGGTAAAAGAAAGGGCTTCCTGTGACAGGAGAGGGTATGGTTAAGAATGAACTCTCCTCAGCCGGGTAGGAGCGGCGTCTTGGTTCCCTCCCTCGCAGAACGAGCACAGCGCCTGCTGGTAGGAGGTGCGTGAAGGATGCTTCCGTGGGCTCCGGGCACTCGCATGAGGTTTGTGCTGTGGCTGGATCCAGACAAAGCCCCGCCCGCTCATCACTTTGATGGTACCATTTCCCATTTCTCAACCTGCCTTTGGGAAACAACCTGCAGGTAGAGGTGAAGCCTAATTACGCTGGTGGAGGTTTCCCTCTGTTACATTTTTATAGCTCAGCCCCAGACAGTGTTTGGAGACGGACTGGAATTTTGGAACCATTTCTGAACTGCTCTTGAACTGTCAGCGTTTTTCACACACATCAGTGCTTTCTCTTAAGAAAAGGGACGCCACATATGTCTTCTTTATCGCCCCTGTACTATGATGAATGTGTTTTAATCCCTTGGGCACAACAATTCCTTTATCCATTGAACAAATGTTGATTAGGCAACTCTGAGGAGCCAGGCACTGCATGAAGTAGTAGGTCCCCAAATTACCTGCCCTCTGCTTGTTTGGTTCTCATGTTCCTCTTGGGAAGATGACATGATTCTGAGCTTGGTGTACAGTCGGGTGAGTTTATAATAGAGACAGAAGCAAAGTGTTCTGGGAGCACAGGGAGGAAGTGACAAAGACATGCCAATGACACTTGCTCTGGGTTAGGTGAAGTAAGGTGGAAGTTCAGGGTGATGTCTGGGAAAAGAGAGAATCATGTATGGCTGGAAGATAGGATAGGTCCTTAGACTGGGGATAATTCGCGGGTGTAAAAGAGTGTTATATTTGGAAAAGAAAATATCCCATCTTGCAGGGTTACCTCTGAAAGGTGGCAGCGATGTGGGTAAGCGGTAGGTACGACCACTGGTTAACAACTCTATAAACTAGCGCAGTCCCTACAGGTGTTAGACTCAATCGGGGAACCCAAACCAGGATTACCTGTAAGAATTTCTGTCACCACATAAACTAAGACCCCTGAACTGAGAACTGACTCTTCAGTCTGCCCGTGCTCCCGGGCTGAGTGCATTTTTGCTCCAGCGGTGTTGTATGCCTGAATTGGTGCCTGCCTTCATTGTGAGCGATCAGAACAGAACAGGGAAGCTGCTAAAAATGCAGTGAACTGATGGGTTTCTTTGAAGCCGCCTGCAAGCTCCTGTACACTGCACATCCAGTTATTAAAATGAGCTCCTCGGTCACCTGCCGGCTCTGTTAACAAGCAAGATGACCTTAGGTTCCATCTCTCTTTAGCGGTTGGTTATTTTACTTTTACTACATGATTTTTTTAAGTCAAAAGTAGTTATCCCTGATCAATTCTCCGATAAGTACCAGCAGCCAGATTTAAAAGCCAGGCCAGAGCAGTTTTCTGATGACAAAACTAGTTTTCTGCTGATGTTCAGAAAATGCATGAGGCAGGAAGGGAAAAAAAAAAATAAAAAGCCAGCACTTCAGTTCTGGGAGTGCAAGAAAAATGTAAGTTCTGCCAAGCCAATATTTATGCTAATGCTCTTCCTTCAGCACCAGAACCTCTGTGTGGTTTCAAATTTCATTTTACTTTGAGAGAATGAGGTAATTGGAGCAAAGACAGAGTGCATTTGCTTTTTCAGGCCATCGGTGCTGTTAGCAGTTACAGGTTTTCATATCTTTGGAAAGTGTAAAGTGATAATGCCTTCTCTCTGCCTGGTCTGCTGGAAGCAGATAACGTCTGTGGGTTTCGGTGCAGAGCCGGCCTGTGCAGAGCTGAAATGCTGGCCGAAAAGAGGGGTCCTGAGCTCAGAGGGCAGTGTCCCAGAGAGGAGGAAGTTTCTGGCAGAAGTGATTATTAATGTGTGTCTTTACTCACCTCTGGTCAGTGAGCATGCTGAGCATTGGACTTGAGTGATGTTTTGAAGTGCTAAGAACTGTGACTGGCTCAGTCCTAGCAAGGGTGCCACCAAGGCAGGAAGGTGACCTCTAAGGAGCTGGGGCCAGAGCCAGAAGGTGGCAGTCAACTTTGGTCATCCCACATAAGGAAAGAACAAGCAGGCCTGGGGCCTGGGGTTGGGGATGAGCCTGTTGATTCCCCCTCAGAGGCTGGGGCACTGCAATGGGATCCTGGACCCTGTTGCATGGAGGGTGGGACCTGTGAGTACAAACAATAAGTGGTGGTCGTTATCATAAATCAAACCTGTATCTCAGTATGATCATTGTCAACCAGGAGTGTCCTTTCCTATCCCAAATACTTTCTCCTGCATGCCTGCTTCAGGAATGCCAAGGTGTCCCAAATACACATACAGACTGCAGATCTATGTGAGCCCTTGGCAAACTTATGAGGTTTTGTATCCCAAGCCTGCCACACCTCAGAGGTTGTTATTGTCACTCTTATTGGCCATTCACAAGGGTTTTCGGGAAATTTCTGCTTTATGCTTTCTATGCAGTCTCCTTAACCACCAGGTCTATGCTACTTACTTCATACCCAGAGAAATAAGGCAGGTGCCGCGTGCTTGGGTCCATGTGTGAAAGAGACATTAAATGAGTGAGCCAGCCTGAGTGCAGTAGAGAAAGGGAGCGTGGAGCATGTAATGATGTATTTACTCACGTCATGGTGTCCTGCCATGAAAGGGCCATCTTCAGATGGACACGATGAAATGGGAAAACAGCCACCAAGTCCTGGTGGCAGAAATGACTCTGAATACACGAGCTCGGGAAGAACTGTAGAGATTCTGTTTTTATTGAGACTCTAAGGCCATGGAGTAAAGGCGGCATACCAGCATTTAGCTCCTGGTGGCTTAGAGAGATTGGAGAAGCATCCGCGGTCTTTCTTTTCTTTTTCTTTTTTTAAAAAATATATCTTAATTGATTTCAGAGAGAGGAAGGGAAAGGGAGACAGAGAGATAGAAACATCAGTGATGAGAGAGTCATTGATCGGCTGCCTCCTGCACGCCCCTGAGTGGGGATGGAGCCCGCAACCCGGGCACGTGCCCTGACCGGGAATCGAATGGAGATCTCCTGGTCGATGCTCAACCGCTGAGCCACGCCTGGCCAGGCTGTGGTTTTTCTTAAACATTACTTGGTTTAAGTTATTTAAAGCCAGTATGTAACCTCTATTTTTAGCAAAAGGGAGAAACCTGTCATTTCCAGGGGGAATCTCTGGGAATCCTTTTTCACGTTGCCCATCACCTTTTCATGTGTGACACTCACAGTTGCTGTGGAATGTGCTGGGTTGGCAGCGGAAACGACCTCCATTTCACGTGCTGCTGTTTGGCAGCATGGACCGGTCGTTTAAGGGATGAACATTTTGAGTGCCGACACTACATGAAAGGGAAGGAGTGGGAGAAGGAAGCTGACGTTCACTGAGGAGCTCCTGTGCACCAAACACTATTGTGGTGTTTGCTCCTTCCACTGCTGGTAACACTCATGCTCTTTTCCCCTTTGTCTCTTCCTCCCTCTGATTATTCCTCCCTCTTTCCCATACTGACCCACTGACCATTTTCTGAACAAACTATTGTGCTGGATGGAGCAGGGGTAAGAGAGCAAAGAGACGTTGCAGGACCAGGCAGTGGAGTGCACTATCAGCTTGCTCAGAGGTCCAGAAAGACGGACATACTCACTGGATTTAACGTCAGGTCATCAGTGCCCTTTCCCAAAGCATTTTTGTGTAGTGGCTAGAGAGGAAACTAGATTTGGGTAGGTTGAGAATTGAATTGAAGATGAATAATTTGACAGTATAATTATTTTTTGTGAGATGTTTGGTTCTGAGAAAGAAGCAGTAATAAGAAAAGTCAAGGAGCTTCTAAAGAAAGTTATTTCACAAAGATGCGAGACAAGTATCAGTATGGGCCAATGGGGATAGAGAGACCAAAAGCACAGGAGAGTTTATCTTATGGGTTGAGGGGGCTGCATTGATATTAGGAAGAGGGTTACCTTTAAATATTTTGTTATGCAAAATTTTATCACCTTTATTTCTCATAATATCCCTGTTGTAGAAAAGAAAAATTTTCCCCTCTAGTTTCTTAAATTCAGTGGCTGAGTCCTGCAAATTAAAATGACAAAAGACAGATTAACTGGAGAAAGTGTTTATTTTGAATGCACACAAGCCTCACAGAAAGGAAGTGAAATATTCTTACATACCATTTTAACAAAAGGCAATAAATTAAGGAGACGCAATAAGGCAAAGGAAAAGGGGTTTGGGCTTCTAGGGGTGGTATTGCGGGAAGGTAAATATGCTGGGGAAACTACTGGAATATAATAAGGGCTCTTTTAGTAGGTTTGTTTGTGCAGAGTCACCTCTGTGCCATCTTTCTTCTTCCTGTGACAAGGGTTGTTCTCTTTCTGGTATGGGAGAGATGAGACGAATGTCTTCACAAAGGGAAATTTATACCCTGCTCTTGGGCAGAAAAGGGGAGAGCAGAGGGTTCCTCTTGTGTCTGCTGTTTTTCACTTGCCTTCCTGCAAAAGAATCCATTGTCAAAGTGGCATATTCTGAGGTGGCGCGTTCTGACCCCCTTCGTTATGAACCAGGTAAATGGCAGTGCCCCCACTATACAGAGGAGGAGACTTAAACATCCTGCTTAAGGACTCAAGGCTTCTAAGGGATAGAACTGGGATTTGATTTGGAATCTGTGTATTTACAAAGGTTATTGCCTTTCTGCTATATAACTGTATGGGGGCTTCTGTGTAGAAGTATGTTCTCAACAAACATTTCATGATCTCTCCAAGAGGTTGAGTGAGGCATTGCTCCAGCATGAATTATGTCCTGCTAGTTCATGGGAGGCAGGGTCCATGCTCCACATTCTGATCAAGAGCATCATGAACTGCAATGTTTAGCAAGTACAGTGATTCAGTCTAACTCTGGGTAGTGATATCAGCTGCCAACTTAGTCACTGTCCTGGGTGTAACAACAATACACTAAGATGCCATGTACACAAAAATTACTTAGCTCACAATTCTAAAGTTTTACAGGGAGCCTATTGAATTTGGAGACAAATGATGTGGCATTGGGAAAAGTCATGGGGAAATTATTCAATATAGTATGCTTTATACAATTTAATTGCTACCTGTTTCCAGACTGACTTGAACTCTGGAAGGCATTTTCTTTTCACAGCCACAAAATACATTTTGATATGCAGCAAGTAACATGTAGCTCTGGGGTTTTTTCAGCAAAACACAATAAAAAGAATCAGTTGAAATTTTATTGTCTGTTGATAAACACTTGGCTCATTATTTCAGCCAGTTCTAATTGGATTTATTTTTCAACTCAGTCTCTAAATTGTACTGACAGCAAACAGTAAAATCAGATGATTATTCGAATACAGAAAACTTAAATACACCCAATCTGCTTGTTCTGCCTTGTCCTGGCTTTTTGGTGCCTTAAATGAACCACCTTTCTTGATGGGGCATCACAGGATCCTGGGAACATAGCAAAATGCTACTCCAGGAAAGAACAGACAGTTGCCATGCTGACTGCTGAGTATAAAATGTTTTAAGGTTAAATCCTCAGTTTTAATATGAGAAAGCTTTATTGTTTTTTGGAATAAAATCAGGATACGAACCACACCAGTTACATTCTGGAACACATCACATACATGAAAACTGAAACATGAAAATTCTTATAACATACTGCATCTCCTTCCTTCCTATTTATATTGTGCTGATCTCCTCCAAAAACATAGTAGGTGCTTCGGCAATGATGCCAGTGTCCCATCTCAGTAAGATATTTTTATCACTCTTTCAGTGGTGTTTTGCTCTGAAACATGAGGCATGAGCTAAGTATCTGACTTGTTCCTCTTCTGGACTGGGGGAGACTCCAGGCACAGCAGGTGCTGTGTCCTATTCTAGTGTGTATGCTCCCAGCCTGGCACATGGCAGATCCTGACAAGTGGGCATTGCATGAGACTGAACCATAGGTCTCATGCTCCTGTGTACACTGTGGTGCACCTTCACATTCTTTCAGTTCTCTATCCACATAACAGCAACTCATGAACATGCCAGAACTTACAAATGTTCATTGTTAATGATTTGCTTATGGAAAGGGCTCCAAGGGAATCTAAATTCCTTGTTCTTTTCATTTGAGAAGCACATCAAGATTAACAAGGATGTGTCATCTCCCCAGAGCATGCAGTTGGGGCTATAGAAAGGAAGTGCCTGGTCCTTTTGGGGGTGTCACACAATAGGCAGTGACAACATGCTTATTTTCTTGGACTTGGGACTTGGGAGTGAAGGGGTCATTTGAGAAAATAAGATATCAGTTGACATTGGATATTCCAGACTTCCCTTTGAAACACTGCCGTCTCTGAGAGAATTGTCCATAAATAGGGGCAGCATCAGGTGAGTTTCACATAATTGTTACCCTCCTTACAGGTATCTGAAGTCTGTCCAGAAGTGTTGGCATGAACCTGTTGTCTCCGTCTTATTGATGCCTTTTGAAATTTATTTTTAAGAACAAAATGAAATTCTCAGTAGCTGGTCCTTCTGAAGAGTGATCCTGTTGAAGAATAATAGTCAGTGGCTCTTTGGAAGCTGTAGGTATTGTCTACAGGAGCCGAGACAGGACATGGAGGACATTGCTCATTCATAGGGTCACCGGGAGTCAGAGACACCTCAACGACATGTAACACACACATTGGAAGAAAGGCTTCATATTTTCTGCAACCAGAAATGTTAGTGAGAGTCTGCCATCCCCTCTTGTCAGCAGAGGGATTGGATTTTACTACCCTTTCCTCCCGTTGATAGCGAGCCTGCAGAATGTCCTATCCGACTTCTTCATAGCCCTTCACCTAATAGAACAAATGCTTCTTGTGTCAGCAGGGTGGTTTTCAAAGCATCCCTGTGTTAGCAGGACTGGCTACAAATGAAGTTCATTGCTGTTCTTTTTCCCCCAACAGGTTCTTAGCATGATAATCAATGCAGCTTACAAGCCTGGGAGGGTATTGAGGGAATTACAACTGGTGGAAGATCCACACTGGAATTTTCAGGAGGAGACACTGAAGGCAAAGTAAGTGTTTTCAATTCTGGGAAATAAGGGTTCTTGTAATACTTGGTCTGCTCCTTTGAAACTTGTTGTTCCTCTTTTAAAAAAAAAAATTTGTTGATTGATTTATAGAGAGAGAAAGGAAAGGAGAGAAAGAAAGATTGATTTGCTGTTCCACTTATTTATGCATTGATTGGTTGCTTCTTGCGTGTGCCCTGACCAGAGATTGTACCTGAAAACTTGGCATATCGGGATGATGCTCTTAACTAACTGAGCTACCAGGCCAGGGCCAGAAACCTGTTCTTCTTTCTGACGTAACCCAGAGAAATGGCAGCAAAAGGAAGGGCCGTCGCCCTGCAGTTCTGCATACTGCGCGCAGATTGTTGGCATTTTGCGACACAGCGTTGCCTTGAGCCTTAGAATTCTTAAAGTGAACTAGATAGTTGCTCAACTAATACTTATTGTGCTAACCATTCAAAATTAAAACATACTGTATTCAAGTCGAGTAGATTATTTGATCAAAAGGGGAAATTTTTATTAAAAGGACAGATATCCCTTATCAATATGCATTATTCATTAGCAGCTCTTAATATTTGATACTGTAAAGAGTTTAATTAAGCCAGGTCCAGACATTCTTTACTCTGACAGTTTTAAAAGATAAAGGAACCAATACCTCTGTTTGGTGTTGGTGAATGGGCTGCAGGCTGACATGTAGTTGCTCATTTGTTCCTTTATTCAGAAATAGGCTAATCGGAAAGGTGCTATTTTTGCCTCATGTTAAGTTTCTTGAGCTCTGAAGCTGAGCGCACACACTGGATAGCAGGCTCTTCGTCTAAGAGGCAGACAGAAAGTGATCCATTTCTCCAGATACATTTACGTTTAATAATTGCTTTGGTATTCTGAAAGGGTTTTTAATATTCAGTTATGTTTGTCAAATAGAATAGATCTTACTGGTCAGCTTCTTGTATAAGTGAACTAGCATATTGTTTAGATGTAACATTTGGGAAATGATGCTGTTGGAAAGAGGGAACCACTTTTCAATGGCTAGCGTGTAGATAAGCCCTTGTTTAAAGAAAGCACCTACCTATTCATAGTGATAGCTGAGGAATATTACATAATTTGTTTGAGCAGTAATTATTTACCCTGTAGTTAACCTTACATTGGTACTAAGTAGAGTTGACGTACTGCATTGTTCTGCAACATTTTTGTCAGTTGCCCACTCAGCATTTTCTAGTATCTTTTTTTAACATCTGATTTTAGACTCGGTAAAAGTCACTTATGGTCTACAGATACTCTGCCAAGTCACAAAACTTAAAGGGAATATATGCAAATAAGGAGAATATTTATTTGTATGAAGTGGCGTGTCAATGAAAGGTGCTCATCCTTCCTTTCTTTCCCAAGAAGTATGTAAATCAGCTTCACATGTAGCCCAGAGAAAAGTAAAACAAGTTTTTCCCCCCAGTGTAATATTCCATATAGTTCTACGTTATTTAAGGGGCCAACCATTAGCAATGGTAAAACACTTTGCTATAAGGGTCAGTTCATGATAGCAGCGATGGCAGAACACCTGAGCAAGTGTTTATACAGAAACTCTTATTAATTCTTATTTTTAAAATGTTCTATAACATTCAGTACATCCAAAAGACACCTAATGAATATGGAAATTGCAGACGTAAAAACATCCTTAAACTCCATTAAACTCTCCCCTGCTCCTAAGTAAGCCAGAAACTCGCCCCAGACACCAAAGCGACAGGGAGCGTTCGTTTTGCGGTGCTTGCACTCACTTCCACGTTACCACGCCGATCAGAGCCTTCATTCATTCCAGCCTGATGTAATCAAAACAGACACCGTGCGATCCCTGCCGTATTGTAAAGGCGCTCGGTGCCTGTTATAGAAGATGTGACAGGGAGTTCCTGAGCAGGATCTTACACGGCCCCTGAGGAGAACACGTCTGTGTGAACGGGTTTCTTGTGTGGGGATCACAGTGGCCTCTCAGAGAGGCTGCTAATGATGACAGGTTTACAGCCAGTCGGAGCGCCCCTGTTCTCATGCTGCGTGTGAGTCACCTCTTTTCTCCTGATGTAAAATGGCAACTTTTTAGATCCTGACAACTTTGCTGTTTCTTTGGTGCAAATGAGAGGAGAGCTCGCTCGCTTCTGCCCGCGGAGCAGAAAGGCTGAGGTGGTTTCCATCACGAATAAACGAACTCAGCTCAGAGACCTGCGTTTAGGGCATTCAGCTGTCTTGGTTGTGGTCTCGGAGTTATAACATTACAAAGAGGGTTTTCAGGAAGAAAGGGCGTCGGAATCTCCACGGGGCTTTATGATGCTGCCGCTGAGTGTCTGGGTTCTGATGGGTTTTACTTCTGAAGAGTAAAAAGACTCATTTACTTGAGAGGCTGGAGATGCCGTTGAAAGGTTTGACTTGTAATAGAAGGAAAACTAACACCGTCACCCTGTTGCTTGCAGCTGCTCCTCGTGTTTAGTTTTTCTGTTTATCCAACAACCAGACCTTTATCTGATCACCATGTAAGGAGCCTGTCATATTATGCATCTTCAAGATACATTAAAGGCAAAACTACAGTGACTGCAGTGCCAAAGGAAAAGTGGATTCTGATGTAGTTCATTTCAGCTGTTCTAGAGGAGAAAGTTCATTCTTTCCTATGAATTTAACTGTACTAAATGGACCTACATTATTTTGAATTTCAGGAGGAGGAATTTAGGTTATACCTTGGTGGAAATAAAGAGTTCTAACTTTATGCACCTAGAGACATTTAAATATGTTTTCCAGCATGTTATAAAATCTTGACAGGGAATAAAAAATCTTTTCTTTGAATGGCTTTTGTGATAATCTTTATAAAAGCCAGCTGGAGGCTTAATAGATTTTCCCAGTCATTTATTACAGTCATTCAGAGTATTTAAATAATTTTGAGTGAATTAGACTTCATTATCACCCAGGCAGGAGCTAGGAGATAGTGAAATCTTTACCTCTAGGTGAGTCATTCTTGGCTTTATGGAAAAGATATTTTGGTTTCTCGTTTTCCATAAGCAGTGACTAATTTTGTATGTGTTTTTATCCATTTCACTTTTGTGGGCCTTTTATTCATGCCCACACTTTATGAACAGTAAGACATAATATTTGGTTCTAAGGAGATTTATATGAACAAGGATTCCCAAACAGAGTGGCTTTTCATGAAAAAGATTTTGTTTCTTCGTTTGTTCATTTTTACCTTGCTCAGATTTATGCAAACTCTCCTGAAAATGTCTACCGCACATACTACAGGAAGCAGGCAGGTGAACCGGTATGTGAAGAGAAGACTGAATTTCTGTGTGTGCGCTTAAATTCATCAGATAGCGGGCATGGTGTTTCTGGCTCAACACAGACCAGTTTAGGAGGTTCTGAATTAGACGTGATCTCCCCAAAATAAACATACACCCATTTATTGCCCAGTTCTCATGACTTGAAATGCAGGGATCAAGAAGGAAGAGGGAAATTTCTGAGGAGCTGAGAATCCCGAGACTGAAAACCAGTGAGTGAAGCAGCGAATCGACCCTGGTCCGGATGCTGTGACCAGGGAAGTTTGGAGGGAAATCAGAGCCATATCTCCTTGTTGCCCATGAGAGGAGTGATTTTCTCACAGCTTGTGACGCTCCCCTACTTCTGCATTTATCGGTTGCCACCTTTCTTCCTTTCAGTTCTTCCTTTAATAAACAAGGATGTGGATTCCGCTTGACAGCCATTCTCACACCCCTCTCACCTCCCTGCCAAGGTTTTGGGAAAGGTCCTGATGTGGGCCCTTCTGGTGATGGAGGGTATGACTTAGGCTGCATTGACGTGGGCCATGCTGATGGTTCTGAGCATCGTCAAGCCAGTGTCAGTCTTTTTACTCTGTATTTCTTTTGACTCAGAATCCATTTTAATTTTTCTCAATTCTAGAGAAGAGACCGTTTTTTCCAGCACTGATTGTCCATCTTCATCCGTCTTTCTCCACCCTGCCATACGCACTCACACGTGGAAATAAGCCCCTACTTTGGTGGGTGGAAAGATATTGGAAGGCTGCTCACACTTCTTTGTTGATGTCAAGGAGCAGAAACCTTTCCTCTTATGTTCAATACCTGAGAGTTTGCAAATTAAACTGACAGAAGACAGGTTAGGAAGAGAAAACACAGTTTACTTACAGGTGCGGTATGTATACAGGCAGGAGTGCTTCATGCTGGGTAACTCAGAGGGACAGTTAGGATTTGGAACGATACCTACGTTATACCTAACTTAGCGGGGGGGAAGGGAAGGTGGAGAAGAGGCCTCTAGGGGAATAAGAGGTGGGTTTCTTTAGAGAAGAGGAATCATTTTTTTAGGAGATCAAATGGGAGATAAGAAAGATTGTGATAATGTTTGTTTATGTGGTGCAAGTCTTCTTTCTGTCTTGGCCATGAAACTCCGGAGAGGGGATTTATGGTAGATTTACTCTTGGTCTCTCCTGTGATTAGATGCTGCCTCAAAGAGGGAATTTATAGCAGTCTTCACTTCTCAGAAGTTTCTGCTTTTAGTCAGATAATGGGAGCTCCGAAAAAGCTTCTTTCTGCATCTGTGGAATCTCTCATGTCTTTGTCTTAAAATAACCTTTATATCAACTCTGGGGTTCTGAGTGGGACCCCACATTGACAACCAGGAGAATACCCCTCCTCTGTCTGGCTAATGTTCTCTGACATCCTCAACTGCTTCAGAATATGTGTCTAAGCATGGTGTTGTCTCAGCAACTCCCTCTGCGCTCCAAACCTATGGTCTCCCTCCCTCCCTC